TCAGGGCTCCCTCGGGGCCGTGTCGAGCCGCACCGGCCCCTCTGGAACTCAGCCGGAGTCAAGCTGTGCCTGGACGGGGCGGTGAGCGAGCACGGGGAGCCTGTAGGAAGAGGTCGGTCCCTTTCCAACCCCCTCAAAATAAGTGGTCGAATGTCCCGGGAAGAGCGGAGCCGGCTCGGACTCAGCCATCGAACGGACCGTGAGCCCGGCAAGGGCCGTGCCCGGGGCCAGAGCTGCCGGAGGTACCGCAGGGTACCTCTCCCGAGAGGCCTTCCCGCCCGCCCCATCCCGCAACGGGGATGGCAGAGAGGGATCGGGGATCCCGGGCATCACCCTCACCCGCGCCGTGTTACGATGTTCGTATCTAATCCTCTCCATGAGCTCGGCAGCCGTGTGCCCCGGTGGGGCAGCGAGCCCCGGGAGAGCCGCGGGGTCCCCGTGTCCCCCAGCCCGGGGTGACACCCGGGGCTGCGGACAGGGCATCGCCGCTGCCACCGCTGCCACGCTGCCACCTTGCCTCCCACTTCATATAAAGCATCGCCCACCTCACAGAGGACCCCCAGGCCCCCTGCCTGCCCCCTTTACCCAAAATCCTACAAACACCCCAAACCACGGCGCCTCCCACGCCGTGGGCACAGTGGGTGACACCACCACAGGCCGGTGCCCAGCAGGGCTGGAAGGGGCTGTTGGAACCCTCGGTGTGGGGGCACCTGCCCGGAGCTGCTCCGCGCCCGCGGGCGCTGCTGCGGGAGGAGCCGCTCCTCGGACCCGCCGCCCTTCGCCGCGGCCTCGGCAGCCCCGACACCACCGGAGGAGAAAATGCGTTGAAAAACTAGTTTAAAAAAAAAAATTAAACAGAAAAACCCAACAGCTGGGTGGATCTGACCACAGACACGCCACAGGTCCGCGGGCAGGTTTTCGCGCACGGTGGTTTCCTCCGCCGTGAGCACGCTCAGCGGGTACACCCCGCAGCGCCTCGTTTATTTCGGAGTTTTCACATTTATTAGAACGCCAGAAGCGATCGGAAAGAGCAATTCGTACTTATTTTTTAAAAAATACATGTAATAAATTAGTTAAGTAACATCTTGAAATTGTGAAAATTGGAAACCCACGCGAAACGAAACGAAGAAAGCTCCAGCGATGGTTCAGCCACAGCAACGAAAGGTTTGGGGCTAGTTTTTTGTAGGTACGGTTTTATCCGTGCCGCCGCGGGGCTGCGGCTTCCCGGGTTTTTATTTTCCTTTTGTATAGCTTTTTCACATTTTAAAAAAATTATTTTTCGGACTTTTAAAAAATATCTTTTTTCCCCCGCCCCCTTATTTTTTTCCTTTTTAAAATTCAGTTTGTTTTTTCTTTGTTTGTTTGGGGGGAATCAGTTGTTTTGGTTTTGTTTTCTTTTTTTGCTCTGCGGGTACAGGGACACAGGGATACCCTGCGAGCCGCTTTCGCGAGCAAATAAATACATCTCCAGCCAGTTGCGTTGCATTATTCCGAGGGAAATAGCTGGCATTCCTGCACCAGTTTATTTTGGAGCTGAAATTTCCCACCCTTCCCGCAGCGCTGCTCCCTGCGGAGGCGAGGCTGGACGGGCTCCCCCGGGCCCGGGACCGCACGGGCGGGCAGCGCCGGCGGCGTGACCGGAGCGATCCCGGGGCCGAGCGGGGCCCGATCCAGTCGGTAGAGGCCTGCGGGTGACAAAATTCTGTCTGCCCGGGGATGGAGAGAGCAGCGGGCGAGATTCGCCGAGGGTTTTCCTCTGGGGAGGAGATAGAGGCACAGCGACTTTGTGCAAAAGCGCAATAATTCCGGGGAACAAATCCCGGTAACGATGGAATTATTTCCTCGCTGGCCGGTGCTGGAAGAGAGTTAAATCGGCTGAATTACCCGGGGTAAGCGGGCTGCTGGGACTTAGAGCTCCTTCCCCTCTGAAGTCCCATCCCTGCTCGCGCCGACGGGGAACAACTGGGAGAGGATTTTTTATTTTTGTCCTCGTCGCCAGGTCAGAGCGACTCGGCCGCGGGGCTGCAGGGAGGACAGGGAGCCTTTCTGTCGGCTGCTTCCCCCGGGGAATAGCAGAGCACCGGGGCAGCCCCGACGGGGCGGTGAGGGGCCGGACCGAACGTGGCAAAGCCGCGGGGACCCGGGCACGGGCAGGCTGCGAGCATCGCCGCATCCTCGGCGGGCCCGTGGGCCGCTTGAGAAAGTCAGGGCGGGCCGGGGGCAGGCTGAGACGCCCCTTCCCCGTAAGGATGGGGTTTATGTCGAAACAGAACCGGAGCAGAAAATCACCCGCTCTCATCGTCGGCTAGTAGATCCCCGCCGGGAAGTTTTCGCCCCAGCATCTCCTGGCGGGCCGGGGCGGGGGGCGGGGGGGGGGGGCATCACCTCCAGACGGGGTGTGGGAGCGAACCCCAAAACCTCAACGGGGCCCGCAAAGGAGGGAGCCACCCCCAGCCCTCCCCGGGGGCGGGCGGACACCTCCAGCCCCGGGCCCGGGGCGGTGCGGGGCGCGCTGGGGGCCGCATCCTGCCCCCGCTCCGCCCGGCCCCGCGCCAGGGGGAGGCTGCGGGCGCGTCCCCCCCGCCGGCAGCGGAGCCGCCGGGACTTGTGCCGACCCCCCCTGCCGGGAGGCGCCCAATCCCGGCCGGACCGGGGCTGCCCCGCCGGCCGTCACGTGGGCCGGCCCGCACCGGGGCCGCCTAAAGAGCCCGAGCGGAGCCGCCGCCGCCACTTCCCCGCCGGGCGCAGCCAGGGACGCACCCACGGGAGACGGGGAGGCGACAAGGGGCACAGCGGGGGAGGGCAGCCCCTCTCTTCCAGGGGGTTTGGTTTTTTTCTTTTTTCTCCTGCCTCCCCCGTGAGCTTTACTGTATTTTTCTTTTTTAATTATTATTTTAATTTTGCTGGGATTTCCCTGGATGGTCTGAGCACAGCTCCATGTCCCCACGGCCATGCCCGGCTCCGCTCCCGGCACGCTGCCATGTGAGTACCTGTGCGGGAGGAGCGGGCCAGGGCGGGATGCTCTTGCGGGGTTCGGCGGCTGCAGCCCTCCGGCCGCACGGACAGGCCTGCTCCAGGGTTATTGCGCTTTTGAACAGGAAAGCGGCAGCGCTGGTGGCTGGGGGACAGCGGGGATGCTCCCGATCCTGGATCTCTGCCCAGATCCGTCGGGACCCCGCTCCCGCAGGGAACCCGAGGGGCCGCAGCTGGCCACGTCCTCGCCAACAAGGCCCCGAGCTGCGCTCCAGGCCCCGGGTTTGGGCGGGGGGAAAGAAGGACGGGAAGGGAAATACTATTGGGGAAAAAAAAAAAATAATTGTTAGAGTGTTTTTCCGGCCCGTTGGATGTGCCCAGGCGGACGGCGGGTAGGGTGAAGTGCTGGAGGGGTCGCTGCCCCTTCCAAGGAGGTTAATCCTCGCCGGGCTCAAAAGAAAATTAAAGGGAAAACAAAACAAAGAAAAAAAAATTTACAAATTTCAGCCCCTGCTTGAGGCAAGGAATAGGCGTTTTCGGCGGGGGAAAGGCCGTCGGGTGCCCGGTGCGTGCGGGATCTCAGCCCGCTGCTCTCGGTTCTCCCTGCAGGCTCCTCTGAGTGAGCCCCTCGGCACCGCCGGGCCGCAGCCGGCCGGGCCCTGAGCAGCGCCGCCGCCGAGGACGGAACATGTATCAGGGTCTGGCCCTCACCCCCAACCATGGCCAGTCGGCTTATTCCCACGACTCCAGCAACTTCCTCCACTCGTCGGCCGGCTCGCCCGTCTACGTGCCCACCACCCGGGTACCCTCCGTCCTCCAGACGCTGCCCTACCTGCAAGGCTGCGAGCCGCACCAGAGCCACCTCGGCAACCCCCCGGGCTGGGGGCAGAGCGGCGGCGAGGCCGGGGCTTTCAACGCCGGCAGCCCCCACCCGCCCTCGGGCTTCTCGTACTCGCACAGCCCGCCGGGCGGCAGCCCCTCGGGCCGCGACGGCGCCTACCAGGGGCCCCTGCTGCTGGGCGGCGGGGGCCGGGAGCAGTACGGCAACGCCTTGGTGCGCTCCGTTAACGGGTCCTACTCCAGCCCCTACCCCGCCTACGTGACCCCCGAGATACCGCCTTCCTGGACGGCCGGACACTTTGAGAGCAGCGTGCTGCACAGCCTGCAGACGAGGCAGGCGGCCTTGCCCGGCCGCAGGTCCACTTTCGGTAGGTCGCAGCTGGCCTTCAGCGATGTCTCGGGGTGTTGGGTGGGAGCCGTCCCCATCCCCATCCCCATCCCCATCCCCATCCCCATCCCCATCCCCATCCCCATCCCATACCCCATCCCCATCCCTATCCCCATCCCATACCCCATCCCAATCCCATACCCCATCCCAATCCCATACCCCATCCCCATCCCCATCCCCATCCCATACCCCATCCCCATCCCATACCGCATCCCAATCCCATACCCCATCCCCATCCCATACCCCATCCCAATCCCATACCTCATCCCCATCCCAATCCCATACCCCATCCCAATCCCATATCCCATCCCCTCTGTGTGTCAGTGGCCCGGCCCCGGGATGAGCTGTCCCGCTGGCATCCCCGACGAGAGAGGGGAGGATGATTTTATCCAGGGATGGGGAGATGGTCCGGGAACGGGGTGTGTGCGGCTGACCCCGGACAGAGGTGGGATAAGGGAGGGGGGTGCGTGTGTGACAAGAAGGGCACAGACCACGTTTCAAAGCAGAGTATTTCCCCAGGAGGACAGAGAAGCAGAGGCCGTTCAACCCCTTCCCTCCCCACCCCACCACCACCCCCGCGATATCTCCTTCCCACAATATCGACTTTGTGCCTGTGCTTCAATACTTACCCTTGTGTTTAAATTAGCGGGGCAGATTTATAGCTCCCTCCCTTTTAAGTAATTTATTGTGGTAAATTAGTTTATATTTGAACAGACTCTCGGTCTCCTCATTTGCCTTCGCCCAAACAGGTCCGCAGCTGCCTTGCTCTGCGGCCTTTGGGGAGACACCGAAAGGCGCTCAGGCGTTGAACAATAAACTTCAATTCCTTTGCACCCACACCGAGAGTCCCCTTAAACCAAGCTCTGAGCAAATAAAGTTTCGGGCTTGATTTAAGAGGACTCTTCGTGCGCGGGGTTTATAACCCCGGGGGCACCCCACCAGCCTCCTCCGGCTGTGGTTTGCAAAGTCCTTTAAAAGCCACTTCAAGATCTCAGCCGCGTTATCATCTTTACTGCGGTGAACCGAATTATCTTATCTTCACCCCAAGAACAAAGTTGGAGCAGGGAAGCAGCCCCCTCCCCACCGAGCTCCCTCCCCGGCTCGGCTTTTCCTGCCATGCCGGAGCTGCTGGGCAGCGGTTTCTTTCCAGGGTTTTCTCTTTGTGAAAATCCTTTGCATTGTGCGGGGAAGGATCGTCCTGCTGAGGGAGGTGATGTCTCAGAAATCTTTTCTGCACTTTGAATTCGGTGCTTTAGGATCCAGGATAGCGGCTGCCGTCCTCTCTGCCGTTTATTTTTGCTCTTGGATAGTGTAAACTCTCTCAAGTAGCCTAAACTATTATTTCTTTCTTTATTTTTCTAATTTTTTTTAATTCAGTGGACTACTGCAATATTTTTTTACCTTTTCTCTTTACATTTTAATTTTATTTTCCATTTCCCCACCTTTTAAAGTTTTGCTCTTTTTCCTTTTCCTTTCCATTGCCTCATTATTAATACGATCGAAGATTTTAGAAAAAAATTATTTAAAATATATTTTTCCGCTAAAGAAAAGAAGAAGAACAAATTATTTTTAAAAAGAGAGGGAGAAGCGATCGGAGGAAAAGGACCGACTCTCGACTGAGAGATGTCCCGATTTCGCTCCGGGCTGCCCGTTTGCCGCTGAGCCGAGCTCGGGGCAGGGATGGACCGCGGACCGTGCTCTGCGGCTCCTTCTTGGCTTTTTATTAATTTTTTTCCCCCGAAAATTCCTCTCTAGCAGGAACTGGGGTCCCGGGCGGCCGGTGATGCTCTCCTGGGGAGCCCGGGATGCCCGCGGGTGCCAGCCCCGCATCTCTCGGCGGGCAGCTCCGAGCCTTCCCCGGCCGGGCCGTCCCCCCGGCCAGAGGTTGGGTGTGTTTCGTGATGGAAATCGGGAAAATCGCCCCATTTTGCCCCGTCTCCCATTTATTTTTGCACTCCGGGATAACATCGCACTGTCCCACTGATGATCCCATCCCAGGGAGAGCCGAGCCGTGCTCAGCGTCTTTGGGGGAAGGGATGGGGGAATAGGCGGTCTTTGAACAAAATATTAAAAGTTTAAGGTGTGGAAGAAACAAAGGGTTTGCGTCACACTTTTAGGGTGGAGGTAAAGCCCCTCCGGACAGGGATTGCCCCCGGTATGGTGCGGCAGAGGATTGGGGAGCCTCTCCCGCTGGGTGCCGGGGACATCCCGGAGCTCTGGGGATGCTCCGAGGCTCACGGCGCGGCCGTTCTTTGCAGAGTACCTGGAGGAGTTCCCCGGGGACGGCCGCGAGTGTGTCAACTGCGGAGCCATGTCCACCCCGCTCTGGAGGAAGGACGGCACCGGGCACTACCTGTGCAACGCCTGCGGGCTCTACCACAAAATGAACGGCATCAACCGGCCGCTCAAGCCGCAGAAGAGGCTGGTAAGAGAGGAAAACCCCGCCGGGACCCCCTGCTCCACCTGCGCTCGGCTGGAGGGGCTGTCACGGTGGTTGTTGGGGTCTCCGGACTTGTGTTAGGCTCTGTTTGACCTCCCACAGATTAAATGCCAGGACATTTAATGCTGTGTTGCAGCACAGAGCCGGCCGGGGTCAGGGGGAATGGGGTAAAGTCAGAGGGGTTTCTGCCCTGGCACGAGTGGAGACAGGGCTGAAGGGACTGGAGGGGTCCCAGGGCAGCACCAGAGCCAGGCAGGAACAATCACTCCTGCGGGCTTCCCCTAGCTCTGTTCCTGCAGTGGATGTTCTGCTTTGTATTCTACTACCATTATTATTATTATTACCATTACTATTATTATTATTATTATTATTATTATTATTATTACCATTACCATTATTATTATTATAACAAAAGCATCAACAAAACAACAAAACAATAATAATAACAATATTAACAACAACAATAACAATAACAATATTATTATTAATAATAATAATAATAATAATGATAATAATAATAATAATTTCCTAGTTCTCCATGCAGACAGACAGACATGGTCTAGGCAGAGCAGTTGAACAGGAGGCAGGGCTGGTCCTGAGCTGGCCCAGTGTGTTTGTGGCTGCTCACAATTTGAGCAGGATGGGGCCCTGCTCCCTGCTGCCTTCACCCTCCTGCCTTAGGGGAAAATTTGGGGTTTGGCAGTTCCCAGTTTCCCTGCTGGTTAAACCATTAATTCCGTCTGTCAATGTAATATTGGGCTTCCTCCAATTGGGATCCCATGGTGAGAGAGGAAAGGCACGTCCTTTTTTATTTTTTTGTGGAGTCGCTTTGGGATGTTTAAATTTGGTGGTAACAGTTTTGGTTTTAGAGCTTGTCATCAGATCCAGTCATTACAAACAGGATGTTTGTTGGAACTGTTCTGGGGAGCAGCTGGGAGCTCCTCGGGCTTTCACTAGGGGTGTATTCCTGCTGTTATTTTTTGGTATTGCAAAACAAATTATTAGCAATAACCCAAAAGTGACAGCTTTCTGTGTAGGAAAATCAGTCAGGAATAAAGAAAAAAGCTGAGATTGAGCAAGATGTTTCACTCTGATTCCGACCCTCGGAAATGTAGCTCTGGATTTGCAAAATGAAATGAGTAGAAGCTCCATGGAAAATGCTCCTGTTTTGTTCATCACATTAAAATCAAGGTATTTTTGTGTAACATTCAGCATTGTCCAACAGGATTTGCCTGTCCCTCCAAAATCCTTCTGTCCCCTTAAATGTGGTGACATTAAATCTGAACCCCCGGTCGCTGCTGTGCCACAAATCTCAGAGTTACGCTGCTGATTTCTCACAGCAAACATGACCTGTGCATACAGAGAGGTGCAAACCAGTTCAAATCCAACTCTGCATTTCAGACTGGTGTCCAAATGTGTCACTGGATGAATTTCTAGGGGATTTTTGAGCAGCTTTTGCCTGGGGGAATTGGCGACGTCTCGCTACTATTCTGTATTTTATTTCAGCATATGGGAAGAGAGACAGCCATGCATTGCCTGCCTGAGCCTCATTTAGGGCACCCATCAGTCATTTTTCAACAAACATTTCAACAAAGTTTTCTGATGGAAAACGCCTGTTTGCAGAATTAAGACGATTCCCCAGCGATGAGCAAATATAGTTGGGAATTACCAAAGTACTTCCAAATTTTTTATTATTTTGGCAATAAATGCCACAATGATAACGTTTAAATGAAAGAGCTGATTCTTGTGCAGGGGAAGTGTTTTGCTATGGTTGAAATACTTGAGGGATTTTGGTTTAGGATTAGAAAAGGGGCTGCAATTTTGACTTTCCATTCTGACTTTGGAATGAAACATTTTGAAACCTTGGGTTTTCCCGAGGATGTGAAATGTCTTGTTGCAACAAGTTCTGCCCTTTTGGAAGAAGAATTGATGGGCAAGAGGGTGCCAGCTCTGGGAGCAGAGCAGTGAATGCAGTGACTCTGTGGCTGTAGGAGCAGTGAAATCCATTTTCACAGTGCAGTGAAATACAGACACAGGAAAAAGAAATGGCTTTCATCCTTTACGTTATGACCTTTGTTCTGTATGTAGACACTGCTCTGGGAGTTATTCTGACTTCTGCTTTCACAAAGCAAAGTCCCTCAGAAGAGGGCACAACACGGCCCAGATAACACTGCAGGAATGATGTCCTGCAGCTCAGCCTGCTCCTGCCTGGGAGGGGGAGAGCAGCAGTTCTGTAGTTTCCACTTCATTTTTTGTTTCCTTTTCTTTTTGAGATAAGGGCAACATCCTCTACGCAACAGGGACAGCCACTCTGTTCCAGCCTGTGTCTGGATTCAAAAGGCCATGGCTCTCAGCAGAGAGGGTTTGTGTTAGAGGAGGATGGAGGCAGTGCTTTATTTTATTTTATTTTAATTTTATTTTATTTTATTTTATTTTATTTTATTATTTTATTTTATTTTATTTTATTTTATTTTATTTTATTTTATTTTATTTTATTTTATTTTATTTTATTTTATTTTATTTTATTTTATTTTATTTTATTTCATTTCATTTCATTTCATTTCATTTATTTTTTTAAATTTTATTTTAGGCAGCACCTTTTCTAGCCAAAGTTTCCTGGTGTGTTTCACAAGATGATATCTTAGACCTAGTCTGAAAATCTTTGAAACCTTTGAAACCAGGAGCAGCTGGTGAAGTTGAAGGCAGCTGCAGTTCCCCTGTTAGGAGAAGTTCTGCTCTGCACAGTGGAGCGTGGCAGGCAAATGCAGGGGCTGTCCTGTGCTCAGCAGCTGCCACACCCCCCAGAGCTGAAGGACTAACCTGTACAGAGAGAAACGTGCTGCTCCAAACCTGCAGCTGAATTCCTCCAGCTTGGCTCAGAGAATACTTTTTCCACCTCAGCCCAGGAGGAATTTTTTCACAGTTTGCAATGTGCAGGGTGTTTGGTGACACTTTAGGGGAAGGTGGGGATGGGATGGATCACAACCCTGGGGCAGTCTAATAGGATCCTGGAGCCACCTCCCAGTGTGTGCCTTGGTTTTCTTCTGCCCCTCAGTTCTTAGTGCTCCCTCATCCTCCAAGGTGCACCTTGAGTAACAAAGAGCTTTAAGTAACAAAGGCAAATCTCAGAGGATGCTGCTGCCTTTGCCTCTGAGCCTACGAGTTCCCCACTTTCAGGAGTTGAGCCCAGATATCTCAGCACACTTTGCTATAACTTCTTAGCTGCAAACCACAGGTCCCCTCAAACCTGTTGGAAATGGGGGCACAGAAATATTGATTAAATCTGAGGGTTCAGTGCCTTTTTTTTTTTTTTTTTTTTTTTTTTCCTGTGAAACCCAGTGGTTTCTTTTCCACATTGGAAAAGGAGGTGAAGCAAAGTCCCTGACAGCTTGGTCTCCTCAGAAGGGGCTTTGAATTTTCTGGGCTTTCCAAGCAGCTCTCACACGCAGTTAATTCAATAGGCACCAACTC